CTGACTCTCCTGCCCCAGGAAATGCAGTGCTGGGTCAGAGAATGTGGGCCAGAGAGCAGTTCCCAGGCAGTGGCCTTGGCCGAAGGTTTCCTCCTGAGTCAGGCAGAGGAGAAGAGGCAGGCAGAACAGGTGAGGGGGTTTCCTCCAGGTAGGTCCCATTCAAGCAACAATATCTGGCCTTTTCCTAATGTTTCCCTGCCAGACATTTGTCGGAGTGTTAATCATCCAAATGGGAGATTTAACAGCCTCCTTCAGCAGTCTCTTCTACTAGAGACTATCTTGTCCCTCTAGATAACTAACCAGGTCTGCTGACGGAAGGGTGCAGAGTCTGGGAGTGGGGCAGGACCCCTTGCTTGGTCACTTCCATTCCATCTCTTACCCCTCTCCCTCGCTGCTGTTCCAGATGTCGGGACCATCCGTGAAGACAGAAGCTACAATCCCTGAGGCAGAAGGAACTCCTTCCGAGGAAGTGCAGAGGGCGCAGGCCGCGGAGCGTGCCCAATATGCCCTCCCCTGTGGTAAGGACTCATCACGTCTGGATGCGATTGGGGCACAGTGTGAATCTGATGGGTAGAGAGTTCAGGTCAGGGGGGAAAAATTAATACTTCTTCACACAACACAGAATTAATCTGCGGCACTCAGTGTCTACTAATTGCGATGCTTGTAAAAGGAGATCGGAGGAATTCATGGAGGGCAATTACTAATTAAATGTTCATATCTCACCTTCCTTCCGTAAGGGTGCCCCCAGGTGGCTGAGAAGAGAAAGGGAAGGCAAACCTCAGCAGAGCTCTTCAGCCTGGTGAATAAAGGGAGCCTCCCCAATGTTCCCTCTAAGCCGTGGAGTCTTATGAGCAAAAATTCTACTTTGTGAGCTACTGGCTTCTTGTGAGTCAGTGATTTGGCCTCTGCATAAATTAGTTTGCTCTGGAGTCCTCCTTCCTGGGCTGAGACAAAAATGTGTGAGCTGGAGGCTAAAAAACTGTGAGCTAGCTCACACTAACTCAGCTTAGAGGGAACACTGGCCCTCCACCCTCTGGGGCAGCAGAGCTCTGGAAACCTGTTTCTAGGGACCCAATAATAATGGGGAAATTTGACTTCTGGGACCATACATATAGTGCAATCTGATGGGTTGCCATGGGTAACAGGATGGTCGAGTAAAGATGGCAGGCTTTGGGGTGGGGCTTTGGGAGGGGCTTGGGGCAGATATGGTGTCATCTTGATGCTGCGTCTCGCCGAAAACCTGGTCAGTAGTTCAGCAGTTCAAGACCCGAGTTGCCGCATGCCGGAGTGAGCTCCCGTCTCTAGTTCCAGCTCCTGCCAACCTAGCCGTTCGAAAGCAAGAAATTGCAAGTAGATAAATAGGTACCACTTCGGTGGGAAGGTAACAGCGTGCCGTGCGCCTTGGTGTTTAGTCATGCTGGCCACATGACCACGGAAACGTCTTCGGACAGCGCTGGCTCTTCGGCTTTGAAACGGAGATGAGCACCGCAACCCTAGAGTCGGACTCGACTGGCTTTTGAGCAAGGGAACCTTTACCTTTACCTTTATAACCCCTGAGGCTCATAGGTACCTGGTGCTTCTGCCTATCCCAGGATTTAGTAAAAAGTGTCAAAGATTGCTGAGTGAACACAGGGCAAGATTTCACAACCCTGGGAAGGGGTTGTGTGACGCAGGGAAGAAACAAGCAAGCACCTTTCTTTCCTCCTCTGTTTCAGTAACAGGTCAAGAAGAGATGCTGTTGAGTCATCGTCTTTTCAGAGCTGTGAAAACGGCTGCCGCACCTGCAGTCCAGGTAGGAGTGATGAGCAGGGGACAGCCTGGGTCCCTCCTCCTTTCTCAGGGGGGCTTTTGCTCCTGCAGTTTCTACAAGATTTCCGGGTGAGAGATCCTCTGAACACTGTCCACTTTATCTATACCAAATTAGACATACCCTGTACCTTCCCAGACTACTCCCTTCCGGTGTGCCATCTCTGCTTGCCTGGCGTGATCTCTGAGGAGGGAATCTGCTTTTTCTTTCAGTGTCCCATTTCCTTGGAGGAGGTTTCCGTCCATTTCACCGAGGCGGAATGGGCCCTGCTGGATCCGGGACAAAGAGCTCTGTACAGAGAAGTCATGCTGGAGAACTACGGGAATGTGGCCTTTCTGGGTAAGGATCTTTCATAGGTGCAAATTGGTGCCCTTGTGATGAGGAATGAATCAAAATATTGGATAGCAATACACCGTTTTGAGGCTTGTCCTACTACTTAGGGAGGGGCTGTGGCTCACTGGCAGAACATCTTCATGGTATGCAGAAGGTCCCCGGTTCAATCCCCACCATCACCAGTTAAAAGGATCAGGTAGGAGGTGATGGGAAAGACCTCTGCCTTACAAACATTAGCTGTTCCTCTGAATTTGGAAATGATCCTGTCTGGAACCGAAGCCTGAGACCTCCTGGGTCACTACCAGTGTTCCCTCTAAGCTGAGTTAGTGTGAGCCAGCTCTCAGGTTTTTAGCCTCCAGCTCACACAATTTTTTCTTAGCTCAGGAGGGATGGGCTCCAGAGCAAACTAATTTATGCAGCAGCCAAGTCGCTCGCTCACAACTTTAATGCCAGTCGCTCACAAAGTAGAATTTTTGCTCACAAGACTCCACAGCTTAGAGGGAGCTTTGTTCACCACTCTTTGTACCTGAGCAGCACCGAGTTTAGTGGGTTCACGAGGAGACTGCACACAAGTAAAGCAGACCCCGGATAAACGAACGATCGGAGCCGGGAGGGTACCTGGTAGGGTTCCCCCCACCCCTGACATACTGTGACCATAGTTAGGGTTTCTGCATAGGTCTCTGCACCATGCACCGTGTAAGCCACTCAGAGCCCTTCGGGGGTGAGCGGGGTACAAATTGAAAGTATAAATAAATATAAATAAGGGTCCTCCTTGATGGAATTTTCCAGAGGCTGTCCACACCCTCCTCATTTCCTCTCGCTCCTGGGTATATAACCAGATACAAGTCCTCATGATGAACCAATTCCCACATTCTGGAGTCTGGCCTTGAAAAAGACAAAGATGTTGGCTGCAGCGAAACTCAAATAACAAAGACCTGCAAATCGGACGCCGCCACTTATTAATCACATTAACCCTTGGGGGAACGAGGGTGCTTTGCCTCACAGATCCATTCCCCTTATATAGGTTAGGATTAGGCAGGGCAACCTCCAAGGAATACCAACGCCATGATGCAGGGGCAGGCAATGGCAAAACCACCTCTGAATCATCACGTGCCTCAAAAACAAATCTAGCTCACCACCTAAGAGCTGGAACTTCTGGTTGCCAGAAGATCTTAGGATCTCCTGGCTACACTACACATTGCCATACGATAAATAAATAAATAAATAAATAAATGCTTTCTCTCTCTTTCTTTCTCTGCAAAAGAAGCCAGAAGTATAAGAGAGACTATTGTGCAGACAGACAATGGTCTTGCATCCAAAGAAAGGCTGGAGAGTTCCTCAAGAGGATCCCAAGAACATATTTCCTTCCCAAATGAGCTAGCTGAAAGTGAGTCTCCTTCACGGTTATGTCAAGGGTACAGGCAAGGAATAGCCATGGGGGATTTCTGATTCTGAAATTTTCTCACTGAAAATGTCGAGACAGTGTGTGACTTCAATAAAAAAGGCCAATGCTATGCTGGGGATTATTAGGAAGGGTAGTGAAAACAGATCAGCCAATATCATAATGCCCCTATATAAATCAATGGTGCGACCTCATTTGGAATACTGTGTGCACACACTGAACATTAAAAAGGATATTCTAGCTTTGGAAAAAGTGCAGAAAAGGGCAACTCGAATGATAAAAGGGTTGGAACACTTTCCCTATGAGGAAAGGTTAAAGCGCTTAGGGCTCTTTAGCTTGGGGAAACGACGACCGAGGGGTGACATGATCGAGGTTTATAAGATTATGCATGGGACAGAGCAGGTAGGATGATTGACACATGGAATTCACTGCCACAGGAAGTGGTGGCGGCTACAAGCATGGACGGCTTCAAAAGGGAATTAGATAAGCATATGGAGCAGAGGTCCATCAGTGGCTATTAGCCACAAGGTATAGATAGGGGCTCTGGGGCAAGTTTTCTTGGTGCTTGGGGGGGGGGGGTTCAACAGTGGGAGGGCTTCTAATGTCCTGGCCCCACTGGTGGACCTCCTGATGGCACCTGGTATTTCTGGCCACTGTGTGACACAGAGTGTTGGACTGGATGGGCCTTTGGCCTGATCCAACATTGGCATCTTTTATGTTCTTATGTTCTTATTCACTTCTGAGCAACATTTGGTTAGGTACAATCATACAGCCTGCTGGGTAAGGAGGGAGGGAGGCCTTCTGGAGGCCTGAAATCTGGAGGCTCAGAAACTCCTTCTGTGCAAGAGTTCAGCTGTGGCTCTTGAGGGGGTGGGGTATCCTTAAATACTAAATATTCTGGGGAATAGTGGAGGGGTAGTTAAGATCAGCCAAAGGGCCATCAGTCCTTTCCTACTGCAGTCACATAGATGCCTTTGGACCTTACCAGCCCTCCTAGGTGCTAACAGGATCTCTCAATTTATTCCAGCAGAGAACGATAAGAGGAATGAGGAGGGTGAGGAACTTCATCAGCAAATCCCAGACAAAATTAAAAAAGAAGAATTGAAAGAAAACATCAGGAATCAAGGCAGAGCTAAGAGAAAGAAAGGTGGCTATACGGTTGAGAAGAGAGATGAAATAAAGAATAATATACGTTTTCTAAAGCACAGAATAATGAAGGCAAGTAAATCCATTCACTATGGAAAGTACTTGAAAGCTAGATCACAACTTCTTGTGAAGCAAAGAATACACAGAGGAGAGAAAAGTTTTGGATTCTCAGGGTGCAGAATGAAATTCAGTGAGAGTGGCAATCTTCAACTGCCCCACAGAGCCCACACTGGGCAGAAACCTTTTGAATGTTCAGTGTGTGGAAAGAGATTCACTCAGAGTGGCACTCTTCAAAGGCATATGACAACCCACACAGGGGAGAAACCTTTTAAATGCTCAGTGTGCGGAAAGAGATTCAATCGAAGTGGCACTCTTCAACTGCACCGAAGAACCCACACAGGAGAGAAACCTTTTGAATGTTCAGTGTGTGGAAAGAGATTCAGTCAGAGTGGCACTCTTCAAGGGCATCTGACAACCCACACAGGCGAGAAACCTTTTGAATGCTCAGTGTGTGGAAAGAAATTCAGTCGAAGTGGCACTCTTCAACTGCACAGAAGAACGCACACAGGGGAGAAACCTTTCATATGTTCAGTGTGTGGAAAGAGATTCAGTGACCGGGGTAATCTTCAACTGCACCGAAGAACTCACACAGGGGAGAAACCTTTTGAATGTTCTGTATGTGGAAAGAGATTCAGTTACAGGGGGAATGTTCAGCGGCATCAGAGAACCCACACAGGGGAGAAACCTTTTGAATGTTCAGTGTGTGAAAAGAGATTCAGTGATAGGGGAAATCTTCAGCGGCATCAGAGAACACACACAGGGGAGAAACTTTTTGAATGTTCAGTGTGTGGAAAGATATTCAGTGACAGGGGGAATCTTCAACAACATCGAAGAACCCACAGAGAGGAGAAAACTTTTGAATGTTCAGTGTGTGGAAAGAAATTCAGTGATAGGGGGAATCTTCAGCGGCATCAGAGAACCCATACCGGGGAGAAACCTTTTGAATGTTCAGAGTGTGGAAAGAGATTCAATCAGAATGGCAATCTTCAACAGCACCGCAGAACCCACACAGGGGAGAAACCTTTTGAATGCTCAGAATGTGGAAAGAGATTCAGTCAGAATGGCACTCTTCAACAGCACCGAAGAATCCATGCAGGGGAAAAGGTTTTTGAATGCTCAGAATGTGGAAAGAGATTCATTTGGAGTCGTGATCTTCAGCAGCACCAAAGAACCCACACGGGGGAGAAACCTTTTGAATGCTCAGAGTGTGGAAAGAGATTCAGTCAGAGTGGCAATCTTCAACTGCACCAAAGAACCCACACAGGGGAAAAACCTTTTGAATGTTCAGAGTGTGGAAAGAAATTCAGTCTGAGTTGTACTCTTCAACTGCACAAAAGAACCCACACAGGGGAAAAACCTTTTGAATGTTCAGTGTGTGGAAAGAGATTTCGCGAGAGAGGGACTGTTCAAAAACATCAGATTACCCACACAGGGGAGAAACCTTTTGAATGCTCAGAGTGTGGAAAGAAATTCACTTGGAGTCGCTCTCTTCAACTGCACCAAGGAACCCACATAGGAGAGAAACCTTTTGAATGCTCAGAGTGTGGAAAGAGATTTCGCGAGAGAGGGACTGTTCAAAAACATCAGATTACCCACACAGGGGAGAACCCTTTTGAGTGCTCAGAGTGTGGAAAGAGATTTCGCGAGAGAGGGACTGTTCAAAAACATCAGATTACCCACACAGGGGAGAAACCTTTTGAATGTTTAGTGTGTGGAAAGAGATTTATTGAGAGGGGCAATCTTCAAAAGCATCAGAGAAGCCACACAGGGGAGAAACCTTTTGAATGCTCAGAGTGTGGAAAGAAATTCACTTGGAGTTCCGCTCTTCAAATGCACCAAAAAATCCACACAGGGGAGAAACCTTTTGAATGCTCAGAGTGTGGAAAGAAATTCACTTGGAGTTCCGCTCTTCAAATGCACCAAAAAATCCACACAGGGGAGAGACCTTTTGAGTGCTCAGAGTGTGGAAAGAAATTCACTTGGAGTTCCGCTCTTCAAATGCACCAAAAAATCCACACAGGGGAGAAACCTTTTGAATGCTCAGAGTGTGGAAAGAAATTTAGTCAGAGTGGCCATCTTCAACTGCACCGCAGAACCCACACTGGGGAGAAACCTTTTGAATGTTCAGAGTGTGGAAAGAGATTCACACAGTATTGCTATTTGCAACAGCATCAGAGAACCCACACAGGTGAGAAACCTTTTGAATGCTCAGTGTGTGGAAAGAAATTCACTTGGAGTTGTGCTCTTCAAATGCACCAAAAAATCCACAGAGGGGAGAAACCTTATGAATGCTCAGAGTGTGGAAAGAAATTCAGTCAGAGTGGCAATCTTCAACTGCACCGCAGAACCCACACTGGGGAGAAACCTTTTGAATGCACAGAGTGTGGAAAGAAATTTAGTCAGAGTAGCCATCTGCAACAGCATCAGAGAACCCACAGAGATAATCTCTTTTGAATGCTCTGAATTTTTAAAGAGATTCTGTCATAGTGGCAGTCTTCAGCTGCATTGAAGAACCCACAGAGGGGATAAACCTTTTGAATGCTAAAAAGTGTGGAAAGAGATTTACTCGGAGTCACATTTTTCAGCTGCACTGAAGAACCCACATAAAGAGAAACCCTTTGAATGCTAGGAGGTGCGGAAAGAGATTCACTTGTAGTCATGTTCTTCAGCTGTACCGAAGAACCCACACAGGGGAGAAAGTTTTTGAATGCTCAAGTGTGTGGAAAGAAATTGAGGTTGAGTTGCCACCTTCAACAGCATCAGAGGACTTACACAGGAGAGAAAGAGATTCCGGTTGAGTTGCCATCTTCAACAGAACCTAAGAACTCAACATGGAAGAAACGTTTTGTTTGCTCAGAGTGTGAAAAGACGTTGAGTAACAGTAGCAGTCTTCAGTGTTGTTAGAGAAACCCACACAGGAAAGATCTTTTGAATGCTCAGAGTGTGGGGTTTCACTCAGCATGGAAATCTTCTACAGCATTGAAGAACGCACATAATTGGAAACCATGTAACTGCTTAACCCATGAAAAGAGCTCCTCTCTTATTTCACACCTAAAAGCCAGCAACAGACCATATAAAGCACTGATACTATATAAGCACTTGTAGAAAGCTTGAATCTACACAGAAATCTTACCCTAACCAGGAAAAAATGTTTTAAAATGCTTGGACTATGGAAGGACGTTTAGCAACGTTTGAAGCCCTCTGCCAGTTGAAAGAGATTAAAGACCAGCTCATGTCTCCTTCAGCCTGGGGGAGTTGTCACAGGGTAGGAACCATAAATGCTCAGTGCGTGGCAAGAGCCTGAGGCACAGATCTGATTTTCATGTTGTGAAGAAAACGGTTCTCTAAAATTTCTTGCCTTGTGTTAACAGCTTGATTCAGGGCAAGCTGAAGGCCTGCTTCTGAGTTAGTAAAGTTAAAGGTAAAGCTTTCCCTTGCTTGAAAGCTAGTCGAATCCGACTCTAGGGGTGCGGTGCTCATCTCTGTTTCCAAGCCAAAGAGCCAGCGTTGTCCGAAGACATTTCCGTGGTCATTTGGCCGGCATGACTAAACACCGAGGTGCACGGAACGCTCTTACCTTCCCACCGAAGCGGTACCTATTTATCTACTTGCAGTGTCTTGCTTTCAAACTGCTAGGTTGGCAGGAGCTGGGGCCAGAGACAGGAGCTCACCCTGTCACACGGCACTCGGGTCTCGAACTGCCGAACTACCGACCTTCCGGTCTGCAGCTCAGCGTCTTACGTCTGAGCCACCGCAGCTTCTGAGTAAACAGAGTTCAAAAAACATTGCTGAAACAAGAGCAAGCTGACCTTCTGAAAGAACATCCCGCTGCAGAGACGAGTCAGAGTTTGGTACATGCTCCCAGTTAGTCACATTCCACCCAATTAAACACCTGGGGGAAAGGGGGCGAACCTAGCTGCAGATTGGTTTGGGTCCTTCCTGCTGGGTCAGACCACCGCTTAGGTCATCTTGCTTAGTCATTGGCCTAATACACTGGCTATTTGTCATCACCTAGGGTCCCTGTTGGTTTTTCAGTCCTGCGACCATGGGGGCCCCTTACCCATAAAGGGAATTCTAACTGATTCTCAGCCTGATGGTGACTGCCTGAGATCTGGACATGCAGTCACTATCCGGCTGAAAGAGGCCATTTTGAATGCTTGTTTGTGAGGGCCGGACAGCTCTGGGCCCGTGCTGACTCTGGATAGAGATACTTTGGGTCATGGAGAACATTCCAGTGAGAAGGGGTAACATCTGCCGATTTGGAACCAATGTCTTACAGTATGAGCTAGTTCTTAAATCCTAGTTTTATTGTTTTATCCTCACAGTTCCTTGTTCCTGTTTACAGTATTTTTTTTGCACCCTGATAGATATTTATATTTATTTAAATAAATGCTCAGTGTGTGGCAATATTTAAGTAATATTTAAATTACTGTTGTGGTTATTCGCCTTCAACCAACCTCATTCTAAATCCAGAGCCTTGGACCGGCTGACCACCTTATCCCAGTAATTGTATTTGTGAGACACTTATTCTGCAAGCTCACCTTACCGGGTGGACTTTCTGGCTCAGTCCCAGGAAGGTTGGAAGTTTGCCCTTTGGCTTCTAATCACTGGGGTAGTCAAAAAGGGATAGTCAAAAAGGCTTCTAATCATTGGGATAGTCAAAAGGGCAGACTACCTGACTGGTGTGTGCGGAGTCACACTCCAGGATTTTGTAATTGTGTGTTTTGCAGCGCTTACCCCCAGGATCTTAGACATGGTTTTCATTGGTGAGGATTGAGATGAGGCCGAGGATTGTGTTGAGGTGTTGTTTTTAAACCTACGCAAAGATTTTGAACTGTGCTGTGAGAGTTTTCTGTGTCCTGGTTAAGTTTAGTCTGGGCAATTGCAGAAGGACACACAGAGCCTGATGTGCTTGACCTGGGGAATGGCGAAGCGACTCTCCAGACTGTGGATGGGACTGGAATTCCTGACTTCTCTGTAGAACGGCAAGAGAGTCACGTCCAGCCGCCTGTGAGGACGAGAATGCGAATCTCTGAACCAGGAGAACTTTCTCCTTTTCCACAACCAGACAGGCCAGAGCTGACGAGTCACTCCAGGCGTGCTGCTGGCTTTCAGGACACGAGGGAGCAGACCAGTGAGCAAGCAAGTAATGGTCATGACTGTTTGGACTTTAGAGACACTGAGTGCAATGTTCCCTCTAAGCTGTGGAGCCTTGTGAGCAAAAATTCTACTTTGTGAGCTCCTGGCATTAAGGTTGTGACCGAGTGATTTGCAGAAATTAGTTTGCTCTGGAGCCCTCCTTCCTGAGCTAAGACAAAAATGTGTGAGCCGGAGGCTAAAAAACTGTGAGCTAGCTCGCACTAACTCAGCTTAGAGGGGACACTGATTGAGTGTGATAGAGGGTATAGCTGGTTATGAGGAAGGCACTAGCCTTTGATCCTGCATTCTGGACAGCAGACGGAGAAAGCTCTCGAGCAGAGCCCAGAGACAGAGCTGCCATCGACTGGCTTACACCCCTTCATGATGGGAGACTGTCATGGGTCCTGGCTCTGCCGAGGCTGACTATTCCTCAGACAAGGAAGAGACACGGAGCAGCCCAGCCTCCTCCGGAGTCAGTCCCAAAGAGGAACCTTTGCCAGCACCTGAGGGAGAAGAGGCCCCAGTATCTGCGCAGGAAGGGCAGCAAGGCAAGGAGACGGAGGAGCAGCTAGAGGGAGAGACTGGTCCAGAGCCTGGCCCAGAACCCCCAGCTGGAGACACCCTGAGGCCAGAGTCCCCACCTTGCTCACCTGAGTGTCCCAGAGGCAGGGCACGCCAGCGTCCGAATGTGCAAGAGAGAAGGAAGAGTGCCAGACTCCAGCTGTTGCAAAGGCAACGTGAGGGGCTGTGAGTCATTGCAGGTTGACTCCCAGGGAAGGGAGGACCTGGTCATAAACACCCCCCACTCACCTGCTTCAGTGCAGAAGCAACCGTGCGTGCTCAGACCTGATTCCAGCTGTCAGCCTCTGCTCCTCACTCCTCAAAACTCTGACTGGTTTCCTGGCTTTCTGGCCTCGCTCTGTTTCTCAGCTTGCTTTTGGACTGTGTATCCGGCTTCCAATGAAGGGTATTCATGGCGACCGGCTGGACTCAGCACAGAGACAAAGCGATGAACCTCCCTGGAGATATGACCGACGTGTGTTCCCGACCTACAAGCCGGATCAGGATGCAATGGCTTTTCTTTTATCTTTTGAATTGTCGTGCCAGGACCTGCAGATTCCACAGAGGCATCCCATGTCAATGTTGAGATCTCAAGTGACTGGCACCCTTGCGGGTTGGATGGGACATCTTCCTGTATAGGATGGCCGGGGTGACCAGAAGTCCAAGAATCTGTCCAAACATTTTCCTTTAAACTCTGGGACGACATACTGGAGGGCTTTTAGAAAAGTGGATAAGTCTCTGTGGTCAACCACTTCATATGTGGTAGCTGCAAAGCAATTCCAGAATTCAGAGCACTGGCTAGCTTCCGAGGAGGTTAGTAATTTTTGTGAGGAAAAAAAGGGGGGGGGAGACTAAACCTAAAACCTAGAATTCAGAACCTATAAAGGTTAGTCAAGAATAGAAGAGGGCCAAGTCATAAAATCTAATTATGAAACCTAAAAAATATACATGTATTTATTAAACACAAATTAAAATAACGAATAAGGGCCCATTCATACCTCATAAACAAATATAAAAACATACAAAGGCTGATGAAATAGACCTAACGCGTTTCGGCCTTTACAGGCCTTCCTCAGAGGTCTAATACAAATAGAACATGTTGGCTGATATGTAAAAATATATACAATCATACATATACGGAATATGCAATAGAGACCAGCAAACAATTGTTCCAAAGTTTAACCACTGGGCAAAGAAGAGAAATACAAAAATACAAATACTGGAGTACTACTGGACATGTGATTGCACTGGAGGCTGTATTTGTATTTTTGTATTTCTCTTCTTTGCCCAGTGGTTAAACTTTGGAACAATTCTTTTCTGGTCTCTATTGCATATTCTGTATATGTATGATTGTATATATTTTTACATATCAGCCCACGTGTTCTATTTGTATTAGACCTCTGAGGAAGGCCTGTAAAGGCCGAAACGCGTTAGGTTTATTTCATCAGCCTTTGTATGTTTTTATATTTGTATATGAGGTATGAATGGGCCCTTATTCGTTATTTTGTGTTTAATAAATACATGTATATTTTTTAGGTTTCAGAGTTAGTACTTTTTGTGACCTGAGAGAATTAATTCTCGTGGAGCAGTTCTATAGTCTCCGGCCCGATGAACTATCCACCTTAATGCAGGATTGGAATCCAGTGACTATCGATCAAGCTGCTTACCTGGTGGAGCACATGAAACTCCATTGCCAGAGATCCCTGGGGAAACAGCCTTTTGCCAGAGGAAGCAGTGCAATGCGTCCAGCT